CTCTGCTGGATTAGAGCTCAAACAAGATGCTCCAAACCTGGACAGAACTTAATATCCACGAGGGTCTCTGAGTACCTTTATGTGTTTTCGATTTAAAACCTGAAACCTGATCAATTAGTCAGCTTTCTTTTCATTGAGTTGTGAGATGGAGGAGTCACACAAACGTTTGCCTGTATCTTACAAAAGGATTATTATTCTGGTAAATGGAAAGTGGATTTACTCAAGTACTGAAGTTAAGTACCAATTTGAGGCGTAATGCTCCGGTGCTTCACTTTTTATATCCCATATTGAAACACAACGGGATGAAAGCATGTAATACACAATTACAAATTTCACAACCAAAGAGTGCAGGATGGAAAACGGGCAAAATTATATTCTTATTCAAAACATTTTAATGGAAATACATCAATTATAAAAATAATAATATATGTAATATGTAAGGACTCGGGTTGGAAGCGGGCCACCAGTTAAAATCAGATTTCCACTCCGGGAAATCTTCTTACACACAAATAATTCTATTTGATGAAAGGTCTATTACAATTAGTAGAAAAAAATGTAAGAGAGACAATTAGACTGCAAACCATAAATTCATACTAATGACAATCTTATTTTTATTTATTTGTAAATTTTATTCCATTCAAACAAACAATAAAGTTATGAAAAACAAACACAAAATGTCAAATTTTGAATGAAAATGAGCAGAAAGATGACTAATCTTATAATACCTGCCCCTCTTTCATTAAGCATTAATTAAAACAAAACAAAACACTTAATTCAAAAAGCAAACACATCTTCAACATGTTAAGGTTTCAGTTTAAGTCAAACCCCAAAGCAGAGACTGACACAGGTAGACAATGTAAAAAAAAAAAACCTGTTTAATGTTCAAAGAGACCAGGCAGTGAAGGCAGGGAGCTGACAGGCCAGAAAAAAACCCCACAAGGTGATGCAGGAAACTCAACTGGAGAACAGCGAGGCACACCGGAGTACCTGAGCACGAGAAAACACAGGTAAGAACAAAAAAAACCATCCGGAGCACAAAAATAGACTGCGAAATAAGCAGCTCAATAATTCACAGGAACTATCACTTGGAGACACGGCCGAACAATACGGGATTATCTGGCAGAGTAGTGGAGTGAAGACCAGGCTTTTATAGACAAGATGATAGTTGAGTGGAGGCCTCGTCTGCTGCTGAGTGGAGAAGCCTGCCACACCCACTGCCACTCACATGCCTGCAGCAGGAGAAAGGAAACAGAAAGGGGAGGGGGAGAAAGAGAAGGAGAGAGAGAAGAAATACAAAAAAGCCCTACAGCAAAACCAAAACCAAACAGAATCATCACACAACAACTATTAAAAAAAACATGTTTTTTTTTTAACTTGTAGTGCTTTCAAACTTGCACAAAACTCCTAAAAGTGAGCTGCATGTTTGAACGCAAACATCTGAATTGTTTAAACTGGCTCACTTCAGTGTTTTTCTCTTTTTTTTTTTGCATGAAGTCTGAGTGAGCTGATGAGAGAACACAGCAGAATTCACCTTGAGCGAGTGGGTGGGTGGGTATGTTTATTCCCTGTGAGCGGGGCACCGCCATAGACATTTTGTTTGCCAAGCACAGAAACAAATCTGAATAAATTCTGCACACCAAATGGGACAACTTCTTGTTACCATTTAAAAAAATGTGGTCAGCCCAGAGTGAAACAATCATTTTCACCTTCATTCCTTTAAAAGTCAGTATCAGCCTTTCAAGAGCGAAACAATCCCCAAATGCAAGGCATTATGGGTAGCAGGAGATGAGCCCTGACATCTAAAGGGTGAGAGGGTTTTACCTGTCAGGGCTCTAAGGGTTCTAGAGCATCTTTTCTGATAATCATCTTTTAAATCTCCCCTGAGATGTGACTTTTATCCAAAGAATTTAAGTTTTATGTTTCATATCAGAGTTGGAAAGTTGTAGCAGACGAGTCCGTCATACTTTACAAACGTACAGAGAGTGGCATTAATCCGATTCCTGTCGGCGACCCCCTGCAGGTTAAGTCCCCAACCTGGAGGGATGACGGATGATCAGGACTCCAATTAAAGAGTTTCTCAGGAGTATGAGAGACTTTACTTTGGAAGTTATGAGCGTTTGTTAAATGTTGTTGATCTAAGTCAGATCCATCATTTAGTTTGGTTTGAAAATGGATGTTTTTAGTTTGGGTTTAGAAATATGTCTTGTGATTTTTTAATAGTATCCATAAGAAATCTAGCGCTATAGTCAGAATGTTGAATATTACTTTGTGATTTTAGATCTTGATATTTACGAAAGCCTTAATTGGACATGCATCCATACATTTTATTCTCTCCATTATCCCTTGAAAAAGAGTAATTAGGGTCAAAACTCTCCAAAATGTACACATGCATCAGGTCAGTATTGGTTTTGCGTCACACCCTAGAGCGCTCCCTTGACATGACATTTTCAAAAAGGGGTCAAAAATGAAGTAACTTTGACTGAAATGTTTTGACATTAGGTGTGCTTATAAATCATATTAAGACCTACAGAAAATCCTCTCGCACCCTGATCCAAAACCCAACAGAGTCAACCATTTTTAGTTGATTTTCAAAGAAAGGCGTTAGTGTGCCCATCATCACTTTCTATATTCAGTTGTTTCAATCAATCAACTTCAAATTTGCTCATTATATTGAAGACACTTAAAGGATGAATATTTATCAAAAGCTTGAGTTTTGTCAATAGGCATTGTTACACTTAGCACCAGCATGAAACCAAAACAACTCACGCTGCATTGTTGTGTTAGCATGCTAATGCTAGCGATCTTTATTATGCTGGTATCTTCACACTGCATGTAAATTTACCTGAAATGAGCGTGATCTAGAAACACAGTTAAGCAGTGAGTACAGTATGTTATTCTTCTTTTCTCTAGTCCCTCAATTAAACAACTTTTATACACGAGGGGAGGAGTCAGCCGGCCGTCCGGGCGATGTAAACAAAGTGAAGATAGGACTCTGAAAACTCTGAAAACATCACAGACAGTGGGACTCGGGTGTTACACCCATTGTAGACAGTCATGACTCACAGAGTTATTTTCAGAGGATAGACTTGATTTCTATTATATTTAAGTGTGAAAAATCACATAAAGCCTTTAAAGTAACTGTTTTCTGGTCTCCTTCCACTTTAGCCATTGTGTTTATTTGTGACAGTAAGGAGGCCATAACAGGCATGGAGTTTGATTGGGATCAAAGCACTGCTTGTCTTGCGTCAGACCCAACATGCATAAAGGTACTGTACAAGCTCCCATTCATCGCTGATTGAGACTTTATTTCTGGCCACCAGGTCACTTCTCTCATCATTTATAAGAACTTCACTGCTGCGACTGGGCCTTTATTTACATTTTCAATGTCCTATTTTCACAGTGTGCATCATAGGCCAGTTAAAGTATAAAGTATACAGGTGAAGATTATTACTTACATATTATTGACAATAATATTATCGATATTATTGATGATGATGATGGTAATGACGATGGTTTTTGTTTGATAACGACGACTTATAAGATGGTTTCTATACTGATTAGAGCTCTCAAGAACTGCCCTCAATGTTGTGCTTTGCCTCTGGTCACTTCCTGTCAGCACCTGTGTGTCCAATCAGACTCAAAGCTGATCGTTTGCTCTTACTCACATTGTTCCCTTTTTTCTAGATCCTTGCTTGTGTTGTACTTACTCTCTGATTACGTCGCTTTGGATAAAAGCGTCTGCTAAGTGAACTGTAGAATTGTAGAATAGTAGAACTTACATAGAGGACATTACTCACTCGTGTGCAGGACAGGATGTTTGTCCTTGGAGTCCACCAAAATCTCCCATACAGTAGCAAAACCCAATTATAATGGATTATAAAATAGATGTATTTTCCATCAAGGGCATCGTGCATTCTTCATTTATTCTATCTGCAAGGTTTAAGAAAATATACAACAATAAATCTGTATTTTAGAAAAAAAGAGACAGAAAGTGCATTATGTCCAATAAGTTTTTTAAAGATTGTTTGGATGACAGCTGCGGCACCATTATGATGTCATTGTATATATTTATTTTCCTTTAAAAAAAAAAACAGTTTACAGGAAAAACTCAGAACAGTTTGAAGGTCATCTGCAGAGACAGATTGTCCAACTGTTTGTTCACTGTTTTTCTATTCAGAGTAGAGCTACACAGCAGATGCTCGCAGAGCTTTCTTTACAAATATGCAACAATAAAAAATGATTTTTTTTTTGTTTATGCACTGACCAAGGTGAATGCATGCAAACAAAATACACAAAGGGACCATAAGATGCAATTATTCTTTGCACCCACGTATGCAGTCCTCCTTTTTTGTACAGTTCTATTTTCTTCTGACCCTGCAGGACTCGTCTGCAGTGCTGAACAACAGCAGATGGGATGGAGGTGAGCGGCTGTGACTCAGAGGCTGACAGGCGCTCTTATCGTCCCCGCGATCCTATTACAATTAGAGGATACTCAACAATGTCAATATAATTAATTCAATTATTAGAAAGCCTGAAGCGTAACGGGGAGGATGTGAAAATGACAAAGACCTGCAGAATGAGGGGTGTGCTTGCACGCCACGCTCAGAGAGCCGCAGGGTGTTTTTCTTTTGAAATCCAGTGATATTTTGAGAAGTTTCCCCACAGGTTGACTGTGACTTAAATGCCAGGAGAGGAGTTGTCTCAGGGGAGAAGACAGCCAGGGAGCAGCTTTTGAATTTATAATTAAACGAGTGTGCTTTCGGGTACGATAGTCATGGAGGCCTTTAGACATCATTTTCAACCTAAAGTTTATCGTTGGAGCTGATTTGAATTAGTTTTTTTATTATTTTTGGCGTCAAAAAACAAGATGCTTCCCTGCCTCTCACGGACACATAACAGAAAGCAGTCCCTGCAAATAAAGGTATAATTATATTCTGCATTATTGTATAAAGATTGTCTGGTATGAATCATAGGTGTCGATGAGTTTTCTCACATTCCTCTTACCTTCCAGTCACCATCCATCTTTCTCTACACGCCCATTCATCCGTATATCCATTTCTGTGAAGTGAAACAAAAGAGGGAACATACTGAAACATTGCACATCAAACATCAACAGGATTTTGATCCAAAATTCAAGCTTCAATCGTGACACTCGTTAAAAGGGTTTAATATAATTAAGCAATAAAGGGATGACATTTTTAAGCAAAAGCTCAAATCTCAACTTCATCGGGACAATATTGTCATGATTCAGTCTTTAGTTTGTATTCTGTCTATTTCAAAGTTTAGGTTTCCTTGTGGTTCTTTATCCTAGAGTTGCTTGTTTCCCTTTGTGTGTTTCATAGTTTAGTCTTTAGTGTTTCCTGTGTTATTTTGTAACCTTGTGTTTCTTTATGTTCTAATTGTGCTTTTGTTACATTCTTGAGTTCTGTGTGTCTTCAGTGTTTCATGACTTAGTTTGTAGTTTTCCTCAGTGTTTCTTGTATTTTATTCCTGCCTCCCTTCTGTGTGATTGCCCTGATTGTCCTCACCTGTGTCATTAGGCTCACCTGTGTCTGATTATCCCAGTGTCTATTTAGTCTCTGTGTTTCTTCCCTCTGTGTCAGTTCATTGTTGTATGTTGGTTCTTCAGATGTAAGTTTTGCGCATGTGCCTGTGATTCCTTGTGGCTCCCTTTGTTACCGTTTGGTTTTTGTTGATTAGTAAATCTTGTTTTTTACTTTTTGTTTAAATAAATATTTGTAGTTGTTCTGCACTTGGGGTCCTCCTCCCTTGTTTTCCCACAATCGTGACAAATACAATCTCACACTGTCTATCTTCACTCCAACGAGAATCGAAATGATCAGTTCTCTCATTATTGGCCACATCATAACTGAATTATTTTATTAGACTTATTGACTTTAAAGGCTTCTATGCGATTTTTCACACTTAAATATAATATAAATCAAGTATCTCCTCTGAAAATAACTCTGTGAGTCATGACTGTCTACAATGGGTGTAACACCCGAGTCCCACTGTCTGTGATGTTTTCAGAGTCGTATCTTCACTATGTTTACATCGCCCGGACAGCCGGCTGACTCCTCCCCCTCGTGTATAAAAGTTGTTTAATTGATGGACTAGAGAAAAGAAGAATAACATACTGTACTCACTGCTTAACTGTGTTTCTAGATCACGCTCATTTCAGGTAAATTTACATGCAGTGTGAAGATACCAGCATAATAAAGATCGCTAGCATTAGCATGCTAACACAACAATGCAGCGCGAGTTGTTTTGGTTTCATGCTGGAGCTCAAGGGCGACATCTGCTGGATCAAAGAAACGCATATAAAGCCTTTAACGGCTATAAACACTGTTATCAGTCTATTGTTTTTACTTCGCTGTTCCTTTTTGAATTACACACTTTGCAAAAGTCTTTTTCAGGACATTCCTGCCTCCACTGGATCTGACAGCTTATCAGATACTGGATACTGTGTTCAATTTATGAAATAATGCCAACAGTTTGCGTATCCTTACAGCCGACTTCACTGTATTGACGAGCAGTTAATAAAAGATTAAATAAAGTATGTGTCTGTAATGAAGCTGTCACGTCTGTCCTCTTTCTCAACACAACGCAGCGATAAATAAAAATAAACCATGATTAACAGAAGGAGGTGTTAATTAGCTTAGAAGGCGGTGGTCCTTTGAAAACACTTCCAGTCTTCCCTTCTCAGTTCTTTTCGGATAAACTTCACACAGACCTTGATGCGAAAGCGAGAAGATTTTAAGGTTCAGATGCCTTTAAGTCTTCATCAGAATCAGAATCGGGTTTTATTGCCAAGTACATTTACAGATACAACGAATTTGACTTGGTGTATTGGTGCTAAACAATCAACAAGGAAATAAAGCAGAACTAGCAACATAGTACAGTATGAGAAGCTATTACAAGATATAAAATATGATTTAAATGAGGACCACAAACCTTTCAGAACAATGGTCCAAAAAACTGACAAGAGAATGATGAACCAACATGAGTTTTTAATGGAGCCTCTCAGGTGCTCATCATTCAGTTGCTGGGTAAAGCAGGTGAGGTGATTACCTAGAGGAACAAATCAAAAAGGAGTGAGGTCTCATGCTGTCAGCCATGTAACAGACACAATGAGGAAAAAATATTACAGTGGAAGAAGAAAATACTCCACATACTCCATGATATCATTTATTCACATGAATCTCAATCAATACCAGAAGCATCAGCTACAGTAAAGACTGCAGTCTGCAGTGATGTGGGTGTTCAAATCTGTGTTTTTTCCCGTACAGTATAGCACAAATCTCACTTCCATATCGAGTCATTTAGGAAGGATACGGGACTGCTGCCAGGGCACGGCATCAAACGTGTCAATCCAGCAGGAAATAAAGAGGGGAACGAGATGCTGCGTGCTCTCATGCATATTCAACATGTTTATTGTGGAAATGTGTGTATTGATCAGTCTGCCTGACCTCCCTGAGCCTCCCCCCCCATACACACACACACACACACACACACACACACACACACACAGGCTCGGCTCGCAGATTATGCTTTGGAAATCAGAACAGGACCTCGTTCGCCCCATGCAGCGCTGCCTTTTTTTTCATCCCTGAGGCAAATCTCAACTCCCACCACCGGCTTAACGACGAGGACCTTCCTTCCTAAGCACGAGCAACTAAAACCTTTGTGTTTCAGGGCGCTAATCGACAAGGGGTGGTGCCAAATCAGGTCGCGGCGGAGGAGACGGTGCATTCACAAAAGAATACTGGGAACCATTTCACTTTGTACACGTGCCGAAATAAAAACCGAGAAAAATAAACACCCCCCCCCCCCTCCTCTGTTGCCAGAGAAGAAAGGATAAAACGCTCCAGAAATCACTGTAAACCGAGATGTTTTACCCGTGAATTATTGTCGGGGCTTATCTGATGGTGAATACGTGCTTCAGCCGAGGAGAGCTGACTGAGGTGGCATTCTCGATTCATGCATAATCTGTCCTCTCTGCATTGGCTTTACCCTCGCTGAAGGAGAGCACAGAGAGCACAATATTCCCGGGAATTAACACCAATGCATGCAATTTATGATGCTTGCATCCCAAAAAAAAACTGCAGGATAAACAATGGTTGGAAGGTAGAGCGTTTTTTGCAGAAGCTAGTAATTCCAGCATTCGCAACAGTTTTGGGATGTTTGAGCGGATATGGGACGAGCTTTAAGGGTGGAAGAGGAACCTGTTTTTACTACGTTCATCTCGACTTACCTTTCAGCAGAATCATGATCTTGTTAGTTCCATCATGCTGATGTTCTGTGCGCCCCTCCACCTCCCCAACAACCGCCAGTCTTTGCAGAATCATCATCCATCGATTCCAGAGGTGTCAAGTAACAAAGTACAAATACTTCGTTACCTTACTTAAGTAGAAATTTTGGGTATCTATACTTTACTGGAGTAATTCTTTTTCAGCCGACTTTTAACTTCTACTCCTTACATTTTAAAAATAGCCTTGTTACTCCTATTTCATTCCAGCTTGTTTTCATTCCGGCATGCCATTGTTAAAAAAAAAAAAAAACCTGTCCAGATAAATCGCGCCAACTAGGTAGAGTGAATTTGACCATGCAAGGGTAATTGTTACTAAGCCTGCCCTGGGGTACACCAATTTTCTTCAGTTTTGTTATCTTACATCCGTTGCCCTCACAGATTCCTGCAGCCAAGCTTGGATGAACATTTACATTCCAATAAAGACTATTGATAACATGCCTCTGAAGTTTGACTTTTTGTACCATTATAATACTTATAGACGACTAGTCATCATATCTTCCGCTCCATGAAACACATGTTAATGCTCAGTAGTTCACTTATATGGTCCTTTAATGTATTTGCATTCTACTAAAATGCGTTAATTTCCAATGGGCATAAATGCGGCTGAAACAGGTGCATCCCAAATGTTTCAACATTAACATTTTAATATAACATTATAGTCATTATGGCCTTTAGAAAAATGTTTTTTTGGGGAGGTGGGGTAGTGCACTATAGACCCCTGTGGTGCGGCCTAAGCTTTTGTCCTTAATGGCATTTTTTTCCCCTTACATTACTTTTACTTTTATACTTTAAGTAGTTTTGAAACCAGTACTTTTACTTGAGTAAAAAGCTTGAGTTGATACTTCATCTTCTGCAGAAGTCTTTTTAAACCCTTGAATGTGAATACTTTGGACACCTCTGATGAATTCTTCACCCAACCTGTCTCAACAAGTCATCAGCTTCACTTCCACCCAGTGTCTGGACTCCATGGGGGGATTTATTCTGTCGATGCTCAGAATTGTCATTCTCCCAAATACATCACCCGCCCCATAGAGTCCTAGCGCCAAAGTATTTCTGTCAAGACACATTTCCTTGTTATTCATTATAATAAATCATTTTCTCACATCATCCGTCTCTCCTGATTGAAATACAGACTTGCAAACGTCCATATGTGCACATGACTAAAAAACAACCAAAGGTAACAGGAAGTATTTGTAGAAAGACAAGCCATAAAAATACATTTTTAACAGCCACAGATTCAGCTGATCCGATGGAGAAGGGGAAGGTTGTTCCAGAGTTTGGGAGCTATTACTGTAAAAGCACAGTCACCTCTGGTTTTAAACCGGGAGCGAGGAACTAATAGAAGCTGTTAATCAGATGAGCAAGAGGCCGACCACTGCGGTAGAGCTGTAACAGCTCAGTAATATACACGGGTGCCGGGCCATGCAGGGCTTTATAAGTGATTAACAAGATTTTGGAATTGATTCTGTGTTGTACTGAAAGCCAACAGAGTGAGTCGTGAATCGGGGTGATATGTGACCAACATTTTTTTTTGTTTTACTGTCATTAACAGCCCTAGCTGCTACATTTCAGACTAGCTGAAGACAGTTTAAAGAGGACTGTGTAACACCAGTGAAGAGAGATACAGGAATCTGAGCAAGACACAATGAACTGCCAATGTGTTTGTGCAAAGTTAGACAGTGTGCAGGAGTTGTCTGCAATTTCTGGTAATTAAAAGCAATAAATTACCTAAAATCGTGTGCCTACGACTTCTATTTTTGCTGTATTGGGTAAATGTACTCAGTCAGTTTCCAGATCTGCTTATTATAAAACATCTTATTAGAGGAAAAATGACAAGAAGATAAACTCACAGTGATGAGAGAAAGTGGGCAAAGTAGTAGTAACAGAAATAGATGAACTATTCATATCCTGATTGATGTGATTTGAAGTTTTGGAGACAGTCAAACACTTTGATTTTTTAAATGTATTTTGAATTTTTCTCTAACTCTGAATGATTTAAGTGACTGTGTGAATTATAGATGTGTTCTTTTGACTGGTCAGGGAGACTTTTGAACTCCATTTCTCTTTGTCTTTGGAAAAAAAACATCAAATATTCAGTCTGAAGTCAAAAAGATATTTTGAAAAATAAATTTTTCAACCGTTCCAATAACCAACATTTAAAATGCAATAATCAATACCGGATCCATGAATAAAACTGACTTAATGACACACAGCCGAGAAGAGTTGCAAAACAAGAGAAGGGATGTTGTAAGTGATGTTGGGGCAGGCTGTGGGTCAGTGGTAGAGTCGAGCCTCTCAACCAGGAAGGTTAAGGTTCGATCCCCAGCTCCTGCAGCTACATGTCCGTTGTGTCCTTCAGCAAGACACTTAACCCCCAAGTTCCTCCCGCTGCTTTGTTAATCTTGTCAACGAAATAAATGACTTTTTGAATTTTTGAATTAGTCAACTATGACGATGACGAGACGAAACTTTGCTATTTGACGATTTGATAAATAATATTACTTCATCATCTAATTGACGAAAATGTGACGAAACGAAAACTACATTACAAGTGACGATTATCACATTTCCCCCTCAGCTGTTCTGAAATCATTGTACATCTTAGCATACTTCATGAAAGGTGTGAGTGTGTGTGTGTGTGTGGTGAGTGCAACAATGTGCAGCCTGGAGCCTGCAGGTCTGTGAAGCCCCGCCCCCTGGAGCCTCTTGCCTGCAGGTCCATGAAGCCCCGCCCCCTGGAGCCTCTCGCCTGCAGGTCCGTGAAGCCCCGCCCCCTGGAGCCTCTCGCCTGCAGGTCCATGAAGCCCCGCCCCCTGGAGCCTCTCGCCTGCAGGTCCATGAAGCCCCGCCCCCTGGAGCCTCTGCAGGTCCATGAAGCCCCGCCCCCTGGAGCTTCTGATAATCAAAATAAAAGCTCGCGTCTGATTTTGTTGACTAAAATATCTTCTATTTTCGTCAACAAAAAAATGATGTGCAATTTTAGTCAGTGACTAATTGACTAAATTAAATTAATAACAAATGACTAATATCTGACTAAATATAAATAAAAGGACATTTTCATCAGGACAGTAAATTAGAAAGTGGTGTAAAGATTAACACTGCTCCCGCTGCTTTGTTGGGTGGTGTATGAATGTGAATGGATTAGTTAATACTGTTGGACACTTTACAGCTTCTGCCATCAGGGTGTGAATGTGAGCGAGTAGTCAGATTACTAGGAAAGCATTATTTAAACTTAAGTCCTTTTACCATTTTAATGTAACCCAAGCTACAGTTGATCAAATTCTCCAAAGGAGAAGTTTTAAGTGTATGGGCATTGAAAATAATCATAATTTTACTGAATGTAATGCAGTTTAGATGCAAGGAGTTCCAAAACCTCAGCAAAGACTTTTTAAATCAGATGTACGCAATATTTCATGTTGTTTTTCACAATTATGTCAGGGCATCATGGGATAATTCACTGGTCTCTCTTAGCTGCAGTTTTGTCGTTAAAGAGTTATCTGAGCTGAAACATAAATCTGCTCTCTGCTCAGTTTTTAGCAGTCAGTCTCCATCGTGACCCTTCCTGATGGTCAGCCGCTCTGAGCTTTAGAACGACGCGACGGATCGGGGACACAGTCTGGTGAAATGATGTTTCTCTGCAGGGCTGCTGGCCTCTCTCTGCAGGACTCTGTGATCTGGAAGGACCTCAGACTGAAGCTGCTGCTGCACATACAGAGAGAGAGAGAGAGAGCGAGAGGAGAGAGAGAGAGAGGGCAGGATGATGAGGAGCGTGAGGAGCCATCTGCGTGTGTCTGACTTGAGCGAGATCAGGAGGCAAAGTTCAGGATGGAAGGGGTGAGATGTTCCAGCCGGTGTGAGAACAGAGTGAGATCTAAGGGAGGAAATATACAGAAGAATGAATTCATTTCAGAAAACAAGTCATACGTGCAGGTAGCTCAAAAATGTACTAGTCCTGTAACCGACACCTTCACATACCTCAATGAGGAAACAGGCTGAATAACTCCCTAAACAATATGTATAGGTTTTGGAGAGAAACAAAATACATCAGAGAACAACACAGAGAACATGGCAGCTACTTTAATGAATTTTTGGCTGATTTTGAATCATTTCAGTCAGATATAGTCAGAACACTGCAGGAAGGCTGTCCATGTTGTTTACTCGTGCGGGTGACGTGCATGAACTGAATCACTGTAAGCACACCTCTTACAGGAGCGTGCCTATGTTCCCACAGCCCTATGGTCCCACATTTCCTTTTTTATAACTTTGTATGCTGCTGCATACTATAAATTGCTGCTTATCGAAATAAAATTACTCATTCATTCGTTTACTATAAAGTGCTTCCAAAAAATCTTGTGGGAGGATAAGGCTTACATTGAAGGGAAATGTAGGAACATAAGACCTCATTTTGAAGATGTCCTAGAAATGTGGGAACATAGGGCTGACCCCCCACTTACAGGCGTGCCAGAGCTAAGGAAGTGTACTGTGATTGAGCACGGATCGGAGCACTCACACTGGTCAAATAAATTGGACTTTAGAGGTGAAGCGTGCTTAGGCACAGCGTGGATTGCCTGGTGTGAGTGCGCCCTAATAAAAGCCTTAAAAAAAAAAAAAAAAAAAAACTTGAAAAAAAAAGATTAGCCAAGTTTGTTTGAATAAATGTGTTTACCTTTTGTCGATGGCCTGTATGTGTCATGTGAAGAGTGATGAAAAGAACCAGCCTGTGGAGTACTTTGGGACCAGTGCATAGAAAGTTTTGTCACTGAGATGGAACCTGAGACAGCACTTTTATCATTAGTTTATCTGGTACAGGGGAATCCATGATTCATACTCTGTGAGAGCTCACTGGGACCAGCAAGACTTTCAACCTGAAAAAAGAATCAAAACTTATTCCAAAACTGTTTCAATGCTTCATCTCTTATCATAGAATTTGTTGTGGCATCAGTTGCAATAAAACATGTGCATTAAAGAAAAATTAATTTGGTGAAAGAGGCTTTAATCTCAAGTTAAAATTCACGTGAAGCCACAAAAG